TCTAAAGTTATACAGCCTAAAAGTTAATTTTTCTGAGAAGCAGACAATTTTAACTTTTCTCGATATATAGTTCGGGCAGTTTGCAACGCAAAGTCAATTTGTTTTGAATTTTTTAGTTCACGAAGTATTTTGGCGTAAAATCAAACTTTTTCCAACATCTTCACCTTTAACATTTTCTTATTCATAATTCATTTGCTATGTAATCCATTTTAATTTGAAAATAAAATGAAAACTGGTATTTCCATCTTCATATGGATACCAAATAGTAAGCAAAAATCTCAAGGTTTACATGTTCTCAAAACCTAAACCTGTAGAAGTCATAAAATGCGCTTACAATAAATATTATTTTGAACAACCTTAATAACCACGTTATTTAAGATTGAGTAATATTAACAACTCCATGAATTCCATTTCATTCTCAATCAATTCTTTTACACACATATGGTCAAATATGAATGAAATCGATGAATTTAAAAATATAATTCGTGTCCCAATCATCATATTCTAATTATTATAACAATTTGATATTAAAAAATCTAAATATTGCTCACTATTAAGAGTGTTATTGTTAAATCATAAATCTTGGTGAAAAATCACTAAATTCTAATAATTTGTACTATTAGTAGGTCTGGTCTATATGTACATGTAGAATTTGCTTATATATATGTATGCTTTCAATTACAAATTGCTTATAATATTTTAACTTCAATATTATAATTGGAAAGATAATGCATGCACATAATATCCTTTCGTACCCATTCTCCATAATCATACAATCAAATTTTAACTAAAAATCAGTCATTTGTTTTCATTTACTTTTTCTTTAAAATTTAAAAAATTGTTTAATTTATGAAACTCAGAGACTAACATAAACTCAAAATATATACGAACTTTAAAAATTTATTATTATTAATTATAGAATTTCATTAAAACTGCAGATAGTTAATAAAAATAACTACTAACCCACATTTAATGCTAACAAACATAAGTGGGACACTCAATTATATAATATGTATGTGCATCCACATTCTTTAATATATGAAAGTTCTAAATATAATTTATATAAACTTATTTATCAAAATAATTTGTTGTATATACGTTAGTAGGGATGGCATAAGCGGTAGAGTAAGGAAAACAATATTCTATTTTTAATAACTTCATTAAAACTAGGAATTAAATATCTTTCTGTTATAGTTTCCTATACAAGAATATGATTTTCTTTAAGGACATACAATTATTAATCTTGAAGTAAATAAATTTCACTTGGATGCTAACAAATGCCTAAGGGAAATAAATCAAATGAAATTATTTAAATCGCTGGTTAAATGGCAGATCTATAATATCAACTTAAACTTTTTAGTAAATTTCTTATTTCATTAGGCAAGTAAATGAAATATGATTTGAATTTCCATTTAGATTGTTGTCCTTTATAGTCTTTTTAACTTAAATGAGATTTCTTCAACGTTTCAGCAAAAATCATATTTCCTCCAAGGCTTAAAATTGATAACAAATATTAACAAGACTCAATTAACTATTCAATCACACAATATTAATTACAAAAAAATAATAGGAAATAACACCAGGATCCTATCTTGTCATTACTTGAACGTGCATTACATTTTTGTAAAAAAAAGTACGAGTACATAACTACATAGTTAGAGAAACCAACGAAATTGACAATCACAAGCACATGTGAGTATAAAAGTTATTGAATCACACAGTTATGTTTGCAATATGAAATTATATTTGCATATTCATCTAGCTTCTGATATTTATTTAGGTCCTTAGATGATTTTATTATTTATTCTAAACACTAATTTAAAAATACATTCATTCATTTTCCGTTATTAATGTTTGTGTGTTTATATTTTGAGGTTAACAACTTTTAATATAAATGCAATTTTTATTTAAATATTATTTCAAATGAAAAGTCAACGAAAGTAAAGATAGGGAAAATTGTTTTAAAAGTAAAAATAAGTATAAATAGAGTTATAATGTATACAAATACATACATACATGCATAGACTCACATGTGCATATGAATGTAAGCGTATAATTGTACAGAATAATATTGAAAAACTTTTTTAATTATTCTGTTGCATCTTCAATACCCGAATGCAAATATGTGTGCTTCTATAGTACGGATTTTAATTAAATACAGTGTACAATGTTAGTTTTATTTTAATGCTAATTAAATATTTAAATAATAATTTTATTTACAAAGTTAAAATAATTACAATATATCAAATACAGTAATATTTTCTCATCAACAAAAAACAATATTTATCAAATATACGAAATTTATCAGTACAACTAAACGCGACTGGTATTATGTTAGAGTACACATTCCAAGAACGTTACTAATGTATGACTCAATCCATTTCTCTACTTTGATTCCCGTACAATTTATTTGTAGTATAGAATTTAAAAAGGGTGGAAAATTTTATTAATGAATCAAAATTATCAAACGTTATTTGAGAAAAACCAAATAAATAAAAAGCAGTTGTAACAGCACAGATCTATGAAAGTAAATGTAAGAGAAACCAAAGTGGTTTCCATACAATACGTAAAAGCTTGATATCATTTCTTTATACAAAGTGAATTTTTATGTTTCAAGAATAATTAAAAGATTACATTTCAAAAATAGGGGTAAGTCTGTAAAAATTGCAATTTTCATAATCAATGAGACAATAATTCTTATTTCTAGAAATATTTAATACTTCTATAAGTTTTAAGGGCTCAGGTACACATGCAGTTTTAATTTTGCAATTACTGCATGATTGTAAAATCATTGCGCGCACATCTAACCAAATAAACTACTGCGTTAACTAAAAATTGTAAAAAGTTTTTAAAAAACTCACATTGTTTGATCGCTTAATTGCATATGATCACCCAGTTGCAAGTGTTCGCTCTTGAATACAAACCTATACGGAATACAAATAAAGGCAATGAAACTGTTACAAAAGTAAACATAGTTACATAGGCGTGGGAGGGAAAATTCAATGATTTTTTGTCCAAAGGAAAAGATAAAAACACAACAAAATTTTGCTCAAATAGCACTCAAATTGAACTCTAATGTTTTCATGCTGACATTTTTCCCTGGCGGTAAAAACGAAATTACTTTTGAAATGGTTGCAGAATTTGAAAGTAAAAGACTGTAGAAAAGGTAAAAATGTTCCCTTCTTCAGATTTCTCATAAAGATTAATCAAAAATATTAATCGAACCTTCAAATAATTATTTTTTTGTTCGAACCGTGTAATTTAAAAAAAGCCAAACATTGAAAATTTAATATAAGCTTAGTGCAAAGTCATCTAATATTGCCAATTCCATATTTCTATTTAAAAATCAATATAAACGCATATACAATCAACTTTAGTAATGATGACATCCAAATCAGCGAAATTTTGTTTTTGTATTAAAATTTTACACAAGAGCAAATAAAATCATTAAACAAATATTTTTTTAGTAACAAAACAATTTTATTTATTTATTTTTTTTTTCATAAAATTGCAATAAAAACAACAAATATTTATTAATTATTTTTTTATATATAAAAAATATGCATTAAAAAATTTTGTAATCAAAACAATTTAAAAGTTCATCAACTAATTCTACATAGACATATCCAGTGCTTGATTTACTATATTTTTTCACCAATTTTAACAACCTTAAAGTACTAGATTACCTTTAAACCCGAATAACATCGAAATATCAAAATAATAATAAAACAAGTAAAAACGTTTCAGTCGGTATAAACCGATTGAATTATACCCTGCACCTTTCGTTATTGTGTAGCAATTACTTGAACCTCTAAAATCATTCTATAAAAACTTCACGGACATGTCTGACCTATAATTGGACATACGACTGCCAAGTTTCATGAATCTGACCTTATAATTTTTCCAAATATTTAAAATTAGCTTTTGGAGTTGTATGGTAAGTACCTGAAACTGCCAAGCAGTTCCACCAAACCTTCACAAATATATCTGATCTATAATCGGACAAACAACTGCCAAGTTTCATGAATCTGACTTTATTATTTTTCCAAATATTAAGAATAAGCTTTTAGACTTGCATGGGAGCTACTCGAACCTGTCAAGCAATCGCACCAAAACTTTAGAAATATGTCGGACCTATAATTGGACACACGACTGCCAAGTCTAATGAATTTGACTTTATTATTTTTCCAAATATTTAAAATAAGCTTTTAGACTTGTATGGGAGCTACTCGAACCTGTCGAGCAATTCCACCAAAACTTCAGAAATGTATTTGAGCCATAATTGGACACGTGATTGCCAAGTTTCATGAATCTGACTTTATTATTTTTCCAAATATTTAAAATTAGCTTCTGGAGTTGTATGGCAAGTACCCGAACCTGTCAAGCGATTCCTCTAAAACTTCAGAAATATATTTGACCTATAATTGGACACATGACTGCCAAGTTTCATGAATCTGACTTTATTATTTTGCCGAATATAAAAAATTTGCTGTTGAAGTTGTATGGCAGCCACCCGAACCAGTGCAGCTATCCCATTATAATTTTAATAGCATGTGTAGAATATAATTGGACACATGTATACAAAATTTTATATTTATACCTTTATTAGTTTTTGAAATATTTAAAATAAACTCTTTGAGTTGTATGGCAGCTACCCGAACCCGTTGTCCGAATTAGTCCAATAACAATAGGGCTCGTCCTTGGCACAAAAGAAAAAACTTGTGAAAGTTTGGTGTCGATTGCATTATTCGTTTTTGAGTTATCGTGCGATCGGACGGACGGACGGACGGACGGACGGACGGACGGACGGACGGACGGACGGACGGACGGACGGACGGACGGACGGACGGACAGACGGACATGTCTAAATCGACGCAGAATTTTACGCTGAGCAAGAATATATATATATGTCCATACCGCAGATGACTCCTTCAAGTAGTTACAAACTCCATACCAAAGTTAATATACCCTTCACGAAGTGCAGGGTATAAAAACAATACTCAATTTTTTTAGTAAATCTATTCAGCAAAAGGATAATAAATTAAAAGTTTTATTTACATAAAAAGCACAAAAAAAAAAATAATTTCTTTTTTGTCATCATCAGCATCATCATCATTATTAATTTGAATCATCAATACAACCCACTACTACTAAATATCAAAATACCTACAATAAAATAATGTTCATGACAATTACAAAATCCTTTGGATTGTTAATTTTCAATAGGCATTTGTTGATTTTCTTTTGTCATATCAACTGGTTTATTATTATGATTTATTGTACTACCACCATCATCAACTCTATCTATATTAACATTAATGGTAGACGGAACTTTACTAGATGTAACTGTTTGTTGTTGGTTATTTCCTGTTTCTTTTTCAAATACATTCAATGATGATGGTATTTGATGATTTGATGGTGATTGTATTTGATACATTTGATATTCTGTATTTGCAATTGCACTACCTAATTGATTATATTGGCCGCGAAGTTGTTGTAATTGTTGTTCTTGTTGATTAATAACCTCTAAAAGCATTTGCCTCTGGAGATAAAAATCATAAAGTAATTCTCTCAAGTATTCATGATATTGTTGAATAAATATTATATAATCATAATTTATATCATCATTAGATGATGCAACTGATGACGATGATGAAAATGGGTTACCATTATATGGATTATTCCAATGATTCAATGTTGACCCTTGTTGTGATATTGGAATATTACAATTAAATGGATTTTTACAATTTCGATTAGGTATATTACCATATAATGTGTTCAAATTATCTGAAAAATACATAAGGATACATAAAATGTATGTTTATATTCATATACATATATATATATTATAATTTTATGTATGTGCAGCATGTATGTATATTATTTTTAAGAGAAAGCGAATAAAATTGAATTCTAATTGATTTTCAGTGGTAATAGATTTTATATGCGAATATTTGAAATGAAAGTGAAGTTTGAGGCTACGATAAAGATTAAATTAGCGTCAATTTTAATTGTGAAAATCGTCGTTTCAAATCGATTTATGCATGCATATGTATTTTGTATATATGTATGTTATAATAGATACTTAAAATATTTTATATATGTGCATAAAAAATTAGAACTGACAATAGAAGTATACCTCAGGCTTCCATATTAAAATGATGCAAGTAACTCAGTATTCGATGAAAGAAGCAAAAAATTTTTTTTGCTTTTAAGGCTTTCACAATTAATTAAAAATTATTTGATTTTAGACAATATTAATGACCACAAGTCACGACTCTTATTTTCATTTAAATCTTATATATATATTCCTCAGATGAAACCCCTTAGTTAAATTTGAAAAATCAAATTGATTTCTTTATGGAGAATTGTAAATTTCGAAAATATCGAAAATATCGTTATATCGAATTACAATCTCTTTAAGTAAACAACAAAGCTTTTTAAAATAAAAATTTTGATTAATTTATCATAAATGTTTTTACCTAAAAATAAGTTTTTTTTAAACCGGTTTTTGCTTCGAAACCTCTTAATTATGCAATACTCTACTAGTTTCGTCGAATATTCTTTATTTTTCTTGGAACAATTAATTAAGGTAATTAATATTAAGTTAAAAATTAAAGAAAAAGTTTTTTCATAAGATTTTTGCAAAGCTCAGTTCAAAATTATGCTAATTCATAATAAAAATATACCATACTTGACTTTTCATATTGAGAGGAAGTCAATCTTAAAATAAATTCAACAATCGCGTTTTGAATAACTTCCGTTTCTTTAAAGGGTTGCGTTGTTTATAAAAAATTAAAACCTATTTAACTTTAGAATGTGAAAAATTATATGAATTTTTTCAATTTACACTCTACTAAGGACCTGAAATGATTTTATTCCATTTTACATGTCTAATTCTTTAATGTAATCAGAGTAGTGAAATTTTGAAAAATATAAAGGATAAAATTTTCTTTCAAAGTAGTTGTTAGTAATACTCGTATGTTAAAAATTTAAAAGGTTAAAATAGTATTGCAACGGTTATTGGAAATTAAAACAATTCAGTATGGAATAGTCAAAGTTTAAATATTAAGAGCATTTCTTTACAGCAATAATAAATAATTTTAAATTCAATTGAAAAAAAATCATTCACATATTTAAATATAAAACTATACGTGATTCTTATTGTACGGTAATATCAAAGACCAAGTTTATTTATTGTTCAATTTGAAATTTATATACCAAAATGGGGGTACTTAATTATTATAAAATATAGGAAGCATAACTTAAAATGTTATAAAAACTAAAAAGTGCTAAGAACTTATTTGGCCTAACAGTTAATTCACGTGGTAACGAAAATGAACGAAATCTCAAAAGCAATTCAATTATATTAATTAATTTATTTAGAAGATTATAAGTACTCTAATTTAAGATTATATTTTATTAATATACGTACATAAATTTTAAAAATCGCAAATTTCTTCCATATAAAAATAATTCCATACGTCTTATTTCTTACAATTTAATACGCTTGAATTATAAAATTGAGTTTATGAACTTGGAATAGAAGAGAACTTTCAAGTATGTGCTTACATTTTATAAATGAAACAAAATCTAAACAAACATCACAAATATTACACTAACAAATTGCTTAATCAAATATATAGCATTAGTATATGTGTATGTAATATATAATACCTATGTAAATATTTACGTTATATTATGACGAATATGTTTTAAAGATTATTTTAAATATTGCATAATTAAAATTTGAAAAAAAGCGCATTTTTTAGTGCAAAAATTAAATTCAACATTGTTCAAATAAGTTTACATTTAAACGACATTTAAATATTTGTGTATGTAAATATGTATGTACTTATATGCTACATGTAGCACGATATATTTATGTTTTTAATAGTGCTATAGTATATTCGTCAAGTGAATAACAAATTTATTAAATGTGAAGATAAATAAACCGAAAAAAATAATATTCTTACTTTCTCCGTGTTCACCTTTCTTCGCAGATGATTCATGTCCGGTTTGAATTTTTTTAGTTATTTCATTTTCATTCGGTAATATCTAAAATTAAAAATTAATAATGAATAAGTTGCAAACATATCAAAAAATACAACAAAATCTAAGAATTAAGAGAATTATAAGTATGTCACCTCTTCATAATATATTTGTGCTCCGTACGGGTTATCAATTAATTCTCTTGGGTGATCAGTTCGAATAGGTTTTGGATTATCTTGTAATGCTCTCAATTGTTCATCACTATATCTTATATGAATCGGTTGAACATATGCTAAACTATTCTGCAAAGCTATTATATACATACTCGTACATATTAACATATACAAATTGAAATTAATATAGATTTAATTTACCTGAAATCAATGTAAAAGCAAAAATTTGACATAAAATCATTGTTTGAGAAAACAGAATTAAATAATTTTTCAATGAAACGAAATAGTATGTTTGTTTGTGTAAAAGTACAAATATATTATGAAAAAAAAAATATTATTTACTTCCGCGTTTACTAAATCTGTTCAGAACAATATTTCGAATGTTACTATTTTTAAATAATTTAAAATCGCCGTCAAAAAATAAAATATAAAAATGAAAATAATGAGAAAATAAAAATATAAAAAACTTTATGACGTACCGTTCGATATTTTAATATGCAAATAAAACACAAAGTTTGTCTACTATAGTCAAAATATTTATAGCTTGTAAATATATTTATGAATATGTGAATATGTGTACGACTACTATATAATTTATGTACAAAAGATATTCACAAATGGCATAATTATAAAAATTTTAATTAAAGAATAAGAATACACCGTAAAATAAATATTTTTATACACGGCTTAATGAAAACTTTAAGTAGACGACCGACATGTAGAAATTTAGTCACATGTACTTATGTGGATATACATATTATATATGTATATACTCGTACATATGAACATCTAATTAAAAAGAAATTTATTTTGCTTATAAGAGCTTTTTGTATCTTACATTTTATGATTAAATCTTAGTAAAAAATTTGAGTATGCAAAAACTAAAAATTTTGGTTATAAAAAAATAATGAAAATGAAATCTACTTGAACCTCTTAAATTTGTATAACTTTTTTGTGCATTGTGATAATTTGTAAATGTAAAACGGGGTAAGTAGTGAAATTTCTAAAATTCGAATAAAAAAATAATTTGTTATAAATTTTCAAATAGATTTAATGTTAGCCACGCGTTATTCAATATAATTAATAAAATATTTTGTCAAATTTCCAAAAAAAAAATTTTTGGCCTGACAGTTTCATCTGTATTTATTCGTCTGTCCATCAGCCAGCTTACCGGTTTGTCGTTTTGTTTATAAAACTTCTACATTGTTCGAAATAGAAAAATAAATTTTTTTCGCAAATATAGATCTTTGTGAAAATAATATATAATATAGCTAGGCCAATGTTTTTATGTATCCTTACTGCCCTGTAACTTAAAGTTCTTCAAAATAGTGCTGATACAAGTTTTTAAATTAATGTTAAGCAAGAGCATCAGAAATTACGATTCTCACATTATAAAAAAAGGTCTAAGCAATTAGTATCAAGTTGTAAAGTAATTTTCAATCATGAAAACTTGAAAAAATCTTCAATCATAAAAGTTACCAGATATAGGCAAATACTTTGTTCTCTATAAAGAAAAATACCTTTGTGTGCTTCCTCCCCCTCTCCCAGGTTTTAAATCGGATTTTCACTGAATATTCTAAAATTTGGACAGTAACAATTGAAGAGGTAAGTGGACAAAAGGGTTAACAAAGGGGTTTGATGAAAATCGAGCTTTTCGAATAGAACATCATTAAATTTCATATATTTTCAACTATGATTATTCTTGTAGCTAGAAACTTAAAAGAAGGCGAGATTGTTAGGGCACATAGAAGATAAGTAACAAAACAATTAATAGTTTTACAATTTGTTAATGAAAATATGAGTTACAATGCATATGTAAGTTAATCCCTTTGTCCACCTACCGCTTTATTTCCAAATAATTCCACAATATATCCACAAAGTCAAGTACTATTATATACAAACAAAAAATGTCGATTTTTGCATAATTCCAAAGAAATGACGTACATAATTTTCTTTTTATTACACAAAAAACTGTTAACAGAAATGTACCAAATATATATACATATATCTACAGTGTCATTCTGAAAGGTATACAACAACATATACTATTCGTTACAAGATCGAAAATGGATAAAACATATGTTCCGAACTGGGTGCCAAATCTCAAGGGTTTCCGAGTTCCAGGGATTTTAATGAATTTTCACAAAATTATTACTTATCCAAGTTTTTTTCAATTAATACTTCCGTTCTGAAAATGATGGGGACTTCAAACAAACAGTTTCTGAAAGGTCTCTAACCAATGGAATATGTTGTTGTATACTTTTCAGAATCACCCCGTATATATGCGCGTGTTCTTTTTTTCTTTGCCTTAAATCCATTTTTTCTTTGCCTTAAAAAATGGATGAAATAATTCTCAAGTCATATTTTATGCGAGTTATATGAGTGAACCTTGAACTTAGAAATCTCATATCGTAAATTTTTAATATTTCTCAGCCACATCCTATTGATGAAAGATTATTTTTGTTATACTTTTACTTTATATTAAAAAACAATTGTTTTTTGGGAAATTAAAGATTTCGAAATTATCAATTCATTTTCTACTATGTGCTATGCTTCATACGTGTCCTACAAATGTGTGAAAGTTTGCTGTAATAAATTTATGATTATCTTATTGGTTCAACTTAAAAATGTTGGAAATTCTACTTTTTAAAAATTTTATTTTTTTTTTTTGCTAAATAATTTAATAAAATTCATTGAATTATTTGAATTTCCGGAAATAGTTTTAGGATCCTTTAGGACACAAATTAATAAAATTCAATAAATTTTTGCATAAAAACTTTAGTTAGTTCAACTTTTGTTGTGTGCATTGTAAAAACGTGATAACTTTAATTTTACATTCCCTATAATTAAATTTGTTAAAAAAAAAAACAATGATAACAAAAGAAGTAAAAAAAAAATGAATTTTTTTTTTTGTTGGAGAGCGATGGATAACTGATGGAGTACTTTATTTTTAACCAAATCACATATGAGATGGCCTCTTGAGATCATCAATAACCAATATAAACAATTTTTTTTCTGTTTTCGTTTTAAACTTTGAGTATTTTGTTTTTGTATTTTGTATTCGTCCTTTGGGGTCCTTTGAATTTTTATTTTATTTTTATTCTTTTCTTATAGCTTTGTATATTGGTGTGTGTGTGTGTATATAAATATATATTTTATTTTTGAATCCCGTATCCTTTAGAATGGAATCGAAATGAATTTGGGGAATATATTTGGATTTTTTTTCTTCTGTTTTGGAAATTTTCTTTACCACACATACATATGTACAATATTGTAAGTAAAACAAATGATAACAAATTATCTACAAAAGCCTTTATTTTTTTCATTTTCATTTCTCTCCTTATTTGGTTTCCTTTTTTACTATGAAATTTTGGATGTGTATAAATGTGGAGGCTATATTTCTAGATTTTTTTTTGTTTGTTTTTCTTTTAGTATTGTTTTTAAATGAATTCTAAAAATTTCCAATGAATTTTTGCCAACATTTTTTTGGAAGATTTAATATTCTCAATTTTTTTTAACTAAGCGCTATTATCTATCATATAAAATGTATAGTAAAAGAGGGTAGCCGAGAGAAAATGATGAAAAAATATATTTTATAAACTTGAAAACCTATATGGAATTTATATTTTAAGGAAATTGTATTTTCATCAGTAGTCCTTTAAAATTAATCTCCTTATACACATATATGGTCCTTATATGTCCATAATGGAAAAACCAACAAAATTCTACGAAAAAAGAAAATGAAAATTGCTGAGTATTTTTAAAAAATCAAAAAAAAATAAATGAAAAAATTAAGGGAAAATTCGAAATTTATATTTCATTTTTACTTATGTTTGTTTGTAATATACGAAAAATATACCGTATGCGTAATGAATAATAAAAAATGGAAAACGAAAGAGCCTTTTTTTTTTTTTTAAATGTCTCGATAGTCTAAAATGTAGTCTAGATCTCTAAAATTGCAATAATGTCTATAAATAAAAATTTTAATAGTTTTCATGTCCATTCTTTATTCTTTTAACAGACATTATGTAGGAATGCGCAAAATAGAAAATTATGTGAATATTTAAATGAAGTTTTAGAAAATTTTTATTATTTTTATTAAATTCAAAATTTTTGTTTTAGTTTCTGTGATGGTAATGTGAAGGGACTAACTTTTGTAGCGTAACTTGTAATATTAATCAAGTTAAGTTGAAAACATAATAACAAAATATATCAAATAATTGCATACATTCAGGATGAACAAAAAACAAAAAAATTAACATAATGATTGAAGACGGCTACGTAAGAGAATCAAGATAAAAAATTTGGTATATTTTTTGATAGCCGGCCATGTACCGCTAGCTCTTCCTAGAAAGCTAGCTCGCTAGAAATTCCGAAAATTCTTATAGTTGCACAAATATAAAACGTCGAAAATTCAAATTTTACAATTTGCGAGAGGAGAGAACTTAGAATAAATTTTTTACTAGTGCCCAAAAGCTGGCAAAAATTTCAGATTTCTTTAATTTACCGTTTATAAAAAAATTTATATTAAAAATTTGAAAAAAATCAACAGATAACGGTGAATTATAACGGCCACTTCGTCATTTTAAAGTTCTACTATTTTTGGCTACCATTTTGCGTTTGTGGAAGTTAAAAATGTTTGTGGTTTCGATACAATAAAAAATAGTCAAATAATGGAATTTTTAGAATTTTGTGGGGCTATACAATTTAGGACGAGGAAAGAATAAAAAATTTTTTTGTATAAAAATAAGTTTCCAAATAAAAATAAAAGTTTTGTAAACAGATAAACGAACGGACAGGGTGAACTAGTTTCACTTTTTTTAGAAATGTTCTCAAAAAATTTTAATATTAAAACTGCTTTACAATGACAAACCACCATTCTCTTCTCAATAACTTTAGAAAATTTATAATTATTTTTGAATTTCTAAGTCACCCACCTTCCTCCGAAATTGTGACGGCGACATTAAATTATGAATATAAGAACTTGCAATTTAAATCCGATAGTAGAGGTGAATTTAACTCTAAAACTAGAAAAACAAATAAAATTTTCAAATTTTTCAAAATTAAGTAAAATTCAAAGCTTAATTTTCTACTGCACCATCACGCTAGACAATATAAAAACTAACGATATTATTACCAGTAACCCAATTTTATTTTCACAAAAACAAAAAGGTATAAATGTTAAATTGTCACCCTAATTGGTTAATTTATATTAGAAAACAAATGTGGCATGTAGAAAAACAGAATTTTGTCTGTTTCTACACACGAGCTCTAAAATGAAATAAAAAAATGAATAAGAAAATCATTATCATTTATTATGGTATCAAGAAAGAAGAAGAAAGAAAAAGAAAAAAAAAATTATAAAATAAAACTAAGCAAAAAATTT